TGCTGTTGTTTTGTTGTTGTTCAGATTTATCTGTTCAAATTTTAATTCAATATTGTCCATTCACTTACTTTGTTTTTGTCTTAAAAGTTTTAGAATGAGAGAACAAACCAAAAAAAAAAAAAAAAAAAAAAAATCAAAACCAAGTAAAATTTCTTTAGGCACCTTTTCTCTACATAAACAATAATAATTTTTGAAAAAAAAAATAAAAAATAAACAACCAAATCAGAAATGACTGTTAAACCTGAAATTTAAACTTTTCTTACAGTGTTATCAAACCTTCCATTCATTTCACATAGACAATGCAACACAATATAAAAAATAAAGACCCCTTTAAATCTCTAGCTCAAAGAGCATAACTTTTCTAAATATCATTTACCAATCTTTCTGTAAAGAAATCTATATATACAATTTTTTTTTTTCTCATTTGTCTCCTGAAATAAATCTTGGGTGCATTAAGAGATTTTACAGTTTTGTGAAGACGTGCCAATCAAAGATAGGGTTGCTGCATCTTGCTAAATTGGTCTAATTTGATATATCTCAATCAATGTAATGCAAACACAAAGAAACAGACTTGTAAAATATCACAATTTAATTTTCGTCAACCTATCTGCCACAAGAACCCATGATAACTTATATGATAATTAGTTAGTGATTATAACAAAGGTTTCAAACACTGATCCTAAATGCTAGTTTTCCTTGCTTCTATTCATTCTTTTCTGGCCCATTTTGCACAACCAGCCACAGACTTGCAAAACTAATTCTCAGTAACACTATCAATAAAATAAAAATCATAATAATACTATCACTAATAATAATAACTTCTCTAACTGTCATAGCAATGGTAGCTGCAGCCACTCCAATTAAATAATAATATATCTCTTAAGCTTTGGATGTTGACAAATCAAAAACAAATAAATAAACAAAAACATTCAAAATTAGGGACCCACCAAGCCAAAGTGTCTAAGTCAAATCACAACACTTTTTACTTTGGTTGTGTTGATGCTTCCATCCATTACCAAAAAACAAAACTGAATATCAAATGAAAAAAAACGAAAAAATCTGAGATAAGGAATACAGACATATTTTATACTCACAGGGTGGGTAGGCTGTCAAGGAAAGTTCATATGTTATGTAACTATTTTTCTTTTTTGTCTTTTCTTTCTCTCCCATTAGGAATGGTTCCTTTTTTTCTTCTTTTTAAAATTTCTCTTTGTGAAGGTAAATATTCAAATCGATAGGTGAATAATAAAAATGTATATAAAAAATACACACAAAGTCCCCTAAAATTAAAACAAAAATAAAATAGTAATGTGGGGGAGAATGTATCATTTTAAAGGCCAAACCGATACTTACTGCGATGGTTCCCTGACGTGGGTATTTGGTGGAGGCCACATAGGAGCATTTGACAGTAAGGACCACGGCATTCATGAGGTTCTTCGCTGCTTGGATGAGGGAGGTGGCTGAGTCCAGCTGCAGGAGGAAGTAAAAGAGACTTAAAACACATGAAATGCTTAAAACATATTCTATGGAAAAACAAGAAACATTCCCAATATTAGATTTAACGAGATAAATCATGGTCTAAATAGAATGATCAGTTTTGTACTGTGAACTCCATTGCTGGCAAGGACTGCGATGGTGCCTTCTTTAAAAGGACTTTGAATTTGCCAAACAGAAACTGCTTTTCCAAGTGGATGCTCTTCCTAACTTTCCTATCCTAACAAGACTTGAAGATGTTTTACTTGGAAGAATGTAACCCTTGTACCAGTGACTCCTAACTCTTAAAGGTAAAACTTAATCTTGATTCCTATCCTCCATGCTGCAAGGAACTCCACAGTAAGAGACACGAGATTAAAAAGACGTTCATATCCAAAATAAAGCAAAATCAATACATTCACATCACAAACAAACTCATTATCTACAAACTCAGTGTGCTCCCAAAGAAATACAATGAAGAAGTAAACTGCTTCTTTAATGTAATATCATATCTTTATTCCATATCTACTTCTTATATATAAATTTGATTGAATAATATCTGATCAGTTCACTATTTCAACTTCTCCACTTTTTACTATACATTTTAACCCAATCGTGCCAGGTGTGGTCACGTAAATGAGACACCCGAAAAAATAAACATTGCCGGGCGTCCCGCCAGTGTGACGCTGTATCGGGGCTGTGCTCCGACGCAGCAGCGGCGTGTGGCCGGCGGGCGGACAGACTCAGGGGAAGCTCCGCCCCCTGATTTTGTAGCCGCCCGGAATTTTTTTTATTTTGGCTACAAATTGTACCCGGCGTGAGTGGGTTAACACAATGACGACGGAAAAATAGTGTGTTCCCTTTGGCAATACTTGGTTAAATGTTTCTACACATAGATGGCTCTGCCAATGCTTAGCCACAAAGGAGTCAATTAGATCTTGTGACCTCTCTTCTCCTTGAAAAAGCGGGAAAAAAGCTTTTTTTTACTATTGCTATCAATATTGACTTTGTTATGTTTGTTATAAACATTATAATTACTATATTGTTACTGACATTACTAACAGCAATATTAAAATTAGAAAATATTATAAAAAATCAAGGAAAGGGATAAACAGGTTAGACAGGTAGTTCGCACATTGGTGACAGTACTTGTAGAGCCATCTATATGTAAAAACAATTACTAACTTCAACACATACAATGGGCAATGACATGTACGTACATGCCATGCCCGGCCACTTGGGGTTAATGATCACTTCAATGTCCATTATTTAATACCCATTCATACCCTCATTGCTCACTCTTCTCATTTTATACGTACCCCAGACACAATCAGCTCTCCGGAGATGTTCTGCACATCAGCCTTGACCTTAGAGGTGATATTGAGCTGGTGACAGTAAAGGGCAATACGGTCAAGGTATGCCAACATGTCATCCTTGGTGCGCGACTCGGGGCACTGGTCGGCAATTTGCCGGGAGAGCTTGTCCAACTTTGTGCCTGCCTCTGAAATCTTCTTCGCAGCATTGATCACATCCATGGTGGTCTTGAGTGGCCCTCGACCCCTGTGTGGTGCAAAAACAGAGAATTTATTTGCATAAAATTATATATTATAAAGAAAGTTTGGATATTGATACCAGCCCTTTATTTATGAAAAGTAAAAGTAAAAAGTAAAAAGTAAAATAAAAATAAAAAAAAAAAAAAAAAAAAAAAAAATATAAATAATAAATATATAATATAAAAAAAAATATATATATATATATATATATATATCTACTGATCTATCTATATATATATCTATCTACCTATTATATATATTAGATATAGACAGATAGATAGATAGATAGATATAGATATATATAATCTAAGTCCCTCCCAACAATATACAAAGTGCATCTCATATACTGTGTAAATCAACCACTTATTCAAATAAATAATAATACAACAGGAGGGAGGAGAATTTTAAAGTCCTCTAATAACCAGTACTGCCTCAGAACACAATGACAATCAATCATATCTCATCCAAAACTCCCTTTCCTCAAACCTACCTGGTAAAATCTGTCATCTCCATCATAATCATGCACATGTGCTTGGCCAGGACAATGATGTCGTTGCCTGTGTCGTCCCACTTGGCTACCTCCTGGTCGAACTTGACCTTCTCCAACCTGAAGTTCTCCACCTGTTGGGCAATCTTGTCCTTGTCCTCCTCACTAAGGTTCCTCATGGCGTCTCTGGCTGTCGTGATGCCACTTACACCTGGGTACTCATCGATGGTTGTGTCCACAGTGTGTGCACTCGCTAGATTGGATTGAGACCATATAGAATTTAATTAACTGACTAAACAAACTTAGCAATAAAACTGCATCAGAACTGAAAAGTTCTTTATACTACCAATATAATATTTTTTTTTTTTTTTTTTTTTTTGAAGAGGTGAAGCCGACTGAATTACAGAACTGATTCGATGTAGGTGTAAAGCTCCATAATAATTTTCTGTAGTTTATAAAGTTTCATAAACATAGTAATATAGATATATTACCAAAATATATCAACTAGACATATTACAAATAAAATGTCTGAACACTATGCTAATTCTCAATAAAACCAATAATTGCAACAGTAATATATAAAAAAAACATAGATGCACAACACCACCTCTAATTAAAAAACATAATACTCACACTTGCTCCTGATCTCCAAAGTATGGTACTCATCCATCAGCACATCATCCGGATCTAACTCGTCATCTGCCTTATTCATCAGCACAGCCATGCGGATCTCTCGCACACCGTCGTACACCAAGTGCGAGGCATCAATGAACTCATTCTCATCCACCTCTTTGCCTGGTGTGCTGCTTAGGACTTCAACTGCCACGTCCACTCTCTGGGCAAAGTTTGGCAGCACTGAAACATACGATTTGTAAGGTCAGAGGTCATATTCTAAGTGCCAAAAAAAGAAGGCAATCAGAATAAACAAATGAATAATGAGAATTAAGATATTAAACCCATTGATCACAGATGGTATCTTATCACGTCATGACAGAACTGGACAGAGTAATGACATAGCCCTTGCCATCCGCTTGTCTTTTTTTTAAAAGTGGCAGTATCATTTTTCTGGTAACATAATCAGCTACAGGTACCAAAAAGCCTTTTTTAACTTTTGCTAATAAATACCAGCTAAGGACAATTATGTGATAAAAGTGGTGGTTGAAAGCCTAACGAGATAGGCACAAATGGGAAAACAATATGCATTATGGCCCACTTAGCCTTTCCTTTTTTCTTGCTGCCACTGGGTTAAGGAAATAAGTAGAACTTATAAGAATGATATTCAATTTATAAAATACATTTCTTATTTTTTTGCAATAGAATTTGCCAATCTTGTATCTTTCTCCAGTGGCATAAGACGGAAAACAATGATGATGAATAAGCAAAAGACTTTATAAATATAAAACAACCTTTTTTTGTAGAAGAAACTTAAGCACAAACAATAACACCCAGAAAATTTCTTAAACACTTAATACCACCTCTCATATAACATCAATCTATTCTATGGACTTACCCTGGTCTCTCAAAACCTTCACTGCCTCCAAAACTCGGTCAGTGTACATGCAAGGCTCATAGTTATCCATTTCCGCTGCAACCACATGGCACACACGGGCAGACCGGCCTCGAATAGCACCAGCAATACGGTCTAGAGTGTCAGGATCACCTTCGTTGATGGCTCGTACGCATGTCTTCACATCCTCTAAGATGTGACTCTCTGTAAAGGTTTATGCAAGAATGATAATACTTCCTTTTTTATCATATATACATATATAAATCCCAGACTTTCAGAGACACAATTCAGGAAAACTTCATTTGTACTAAATCATGGGAAAAAAACAAAAACTTACATCTCCACCCAATAAAAGTATTACACAGTAATACTAGTCACAAAAAGACTCTTACCTGAAACAGCGAGGAAGTCATCAATGGTTGTGATGTCATCCACAGACTCTGTAAGGATGCGCACTTGGTTCTCCCAGGCATCCTTGAAGGCATCCATGTTCTCCTGAGCAACCTACCAAGGAGATAATACCAAACAGTAAATAAAAATATCACAGACAAAGAGCATGACTTCTTTCACAATTTCTTGAAGAAATTCCTCATATTCACAAGAAACCTACCTTGGATTTGGGCCGTGCCGCCAGAATACGCGCAGCATTGATGACCTGAGGGCAGAGGTGTTCTATCTGCGCTGCACCATAGCGCACCATCTTCACACCATCCTCATTGTTGGACATGGTGCAGGCCAAGTTTGCAACTTCCACCAATTTGTTTGCATGTTCAGTAAAGACCTAAAAGACAAGAGAGAATGAAAGATTAATTTATAGTATAGATAAATTTCACCAAGGAAATAGGTGAATGCAGAAAAGTACAATTCAAGCTTATGAAATTACAAATATACTAATACAGTACACTGATATCCACATTATTTAAGCATTAACACTGAGACATGATAAATATATTTGCATTCATCCATTTTCATCAACAGTCCGTTAGTCCGTCAATCCCCGTTTTCCAGTCTTCAGCCCCACAAGAGGTCTGCTATCCACTAACCTGTGCGTACTCCTCCACTTCTTTCTCGTTGCCATTCCTTGCAGCTTCAACTAAAACTAGCAGTGGTACATTTGTCTCTAAGAAACTGGAATTCAAAAGCAGGTTATTCAGACACACAAACTGACAAGTTCCTCTGTACACACAGCTATCTAAGTTAAACAAAACTTATGTGATATACTGTAATGGACAAGTAAAAAAAAAAAACAATAAAAAGATTATATATTAGACCTGAGAATCAAATAAAAATTGAATTATCACTAAATAACCATACACCAAACTGACTGCTAACTTTTAGTTACAGACATGAACATTCAGAGGTACAAAATATACAAATATAAAAGACAAATTGACTAACTATAACTCTCATATACTTCTTTAAAAAGTACATCTCAAGTAATCCACATCACACCAGTTTTCTAATGACAAAAAAATAAAAAATATAAAAAAAGTCTGACCAACTCTTGATAAAACCTGATATTCACATCTACTATCCACTTTGACACTCACCAATTAAAATAAAAAGAAAATAAATAGCAAGGATAAAAGTAAATACCAAAAATATACCAACCTATCTGAAACGTGATCAACTACAGCTTTACGCAGTTGACGTCTGAGGTCCTTGGTCTTGCGATACATGTGATCAATTGCCTTGTCCAGATTTTCCGAGGGCTGTTTGCGTCCCATCTGAAGGAGGGGAGGTATAATGTAAGATCTGAAATGTGCTGAACTCATTTCTCTGGTAAATAAAAAGTTGATACATATGTGAAGTTGAAAAACATTCACATGAACTGACTTCTTTTTTATTATGGCTGTGTTTGTTTTCCCATACCTGATCTCCAAATACAATACTGATTGGGAAATATTTTTGGAAATCTTGTATTTGTCTTTAAAATGTTCTTGTTATATCATATATTGTAAATACATGAACATGGCTGAAACATTTATACCAAAAAGGTAGTAAATTTCAAACAAAAATTAATTTCATCTGTATCACAAAGGAGTAATCAATCCATTAAAACACCAAAAAGGCAAAAATCCCTATCTCATATCTTATCACAATTGCAAGATATCTAAAATGCTCAGAAGAAAAACTAACCATACCAGAACTACAACAAAAGTCAATTAACAGTGAGAGATTAAAAAGCAGAAGGTAATGCATTCTCAGAATCCAAAGACAATGCCGTGGGAGCCATTAAACAGCAGATAACTTACCAACACCTAGGGTGGGAGACATAAAATATCTTGAAATCACCAGTGCATCCCTATACTCACATTATCCATATATTCTGTCAGAAGGTCCTGCAGAGCCTGTCTCACAGCGTTGCATTCCTCGACAATCTTGAGCCTCCTGTCGTCCCTTGTGCAGAATGAGTCTGCCATGAGCGCTGCCCCACTGATGATGGACTCTAAACGCTCCTCGAGGGAAGGACGGGTTCGCACTTCGTTGTAGGTCAGTGGGTCCATGTTGATGCGTTCCTGTTAGAGGATGAGGGGGAGAGGATCTGTTAGAATGGGACAAGACAGAAAATGGGGTCAAGGCACCCAAAATTAAATGGTATTCCCCAGCAGCAGGAAAAGATCTATATATTGGCATGTCAGGGTAAGGACCTATTCCTGTGTTGATGATCTGTTATATGGAAAATGAAGTAGAGTACATGACTCTAAAATGCATTAGCCAACACAACTTTTTGGAACAAATAGATGGCTCCACACCCATGGAGTCAATCATTAGGCTTACCTGACATAAGCTATTTATCCCATTCCTCAATATATATTTTTTTTTCTATTACTGTTAATCTAAACTTTTACATTATCGTTGGTAATATCATTACTAACATGATAATGTTAGCCACAATAATTAGATCAATAATGATTAAAATATTTTTCACAAAAAAATCAAGGAATAGTTTACATAGGTAAGGTCAGTTAGGATTAGTAATAGGACCCTTGGTGACTTAGTCCCTGTGAAAGCCATCCCAGTATAAAAATTAAAAAAAAACAATAACAAGATACCTTGGTAGACAATCCATGTATACAAGCACTCGAAGCATAAACTAGTCCAAAAAGAGATTCATAAATACGACTCTGTATTGTATATCACTGGCTTACAAATCAACATTTCTTGAGAAATTGGAGAGTAAGAGCCAAATCATGTTAATGTTTACTTAACGTGTAGCCAACAGGTGGCATGTACGCGCATGCTATGGCTGTTGTGGATCGAAAAACGGATGGCATCGTATCATGCCCATTCCCACGCCTATGGCTTGTCAGACGGAGTTTGTTTTTCTCTGATAGTAGCGGCTTCATTTATATGGTAAAGATTTTAGGAAATGGCACCTATAATGAAGGTAAACCTTCAAAATTATAATATCTTTATAAAAAATAGCAAAATAAAAGCTTTGAGGTGCCAAATGCTGCTCGCAAACTACCGATTGAGCCGGGCGCAAACAGGGGAAATTGCCGATGGCGCCAAGAATCCTGTTCTTACGTCCACTTGCCAGACATATTTACCCGTCAGCACTGGGTTAAACTATGTTAATGCATTTCTATCAATCTGCTTATCTAGATGTCCATAATTCAATTTCCCTTTTGACAACATTGCAATACAAGGGCATCACATAATTCTAGAATAGTACTTGTTACTGATAGGTTGAGTTAATAGAACACAAAGTCCTCTTTGCCTCATAGTGAAAGTGAGAAATAAGGAAACACTTACACTTAATAAATGAATACTAGTCTGAACTGAACCACAAAGAAAGTCAATATTCAAAACAAATATACCCAGATATGGACATTTAGAGACACATACATCACCACAGCCACGCACACACACACACGCACACACACACACACACACACACACACACACACACACACACACACACACACACACACACACACACACACACACACACACACACACACACACACACACACACACACACACACACACACACACACACACACACACACTCACTCACTCACTCACTCACTCACTCACTCACTCACTCACTCACTCACTCACACTCACTCACTCACCACTCACTCACTCACTCACTCACTCACTCACATCACTCACACTCACTCACACACTCACACACTCACACACTCACTTCACACACTCACTCACTCACACACTCACTCACACACTCACTATCATTCTCACATACTAAGAGATATGAGTAAAGATAGTAGCAATTTTATTTTTTTACCATCTTATCATATATCACTTATCAGCAATGCTCTAAAATGTTTAATCACAATATATCATCAACAACATATTAATATCAACATATTAATATCAATGAAAAAAAAAAAGATGTATATATATATTCTCCATGCAAATAAACGAAAAATAAAGTGCAATGATCCAATGTCCACCAGGAACTCCTGCGATACTCACATCAAAGTCATCAAGGGCCGAAGCCAGCTCTCCCGGGCCTTCGTAGGGCATTTGGCCCGCCCCCGTGGCCTTACCCTGGGCTACGTCACTGATGGTGTTCACTGCCTCGCACACTTGCTTGAACACAAAGTCACGGTTGGCCTTCGCTGCTGCCAGTTCTGGGTGCCGCACATACGCCTGTGAGGTTGATTGGGGGGGTTGGAGTGTGCCGTAAGACTTGGAGTGGGCTTAAAAGTAGGTTTGTTTGCTTGGCTTTTTTTTTTCCCTCACCTAAACTTGTGTGCAAAGCCAGTGTACCTGCTATGCTGCTAATTGTTAATATATTTTAGATAATTTTTTTCATTTATTTTTACTTTTAATATGAGTTGCAGTTTCATTGCTATGCAGAGACAATAAGGAATTTGTACAAGCAACAAGATTCAGTGCCAATTTCAAGATAACAGCTAGGCCATTTTATAGCTCCCTGCAGAGTACAATATTGTATACTACTGGCTTAACATCTCTTAGCCTTGGCTAACTCTTACCTGATTTGGAGCAAAATCACATTCAAACAAAAAACAAAAAATGTAAAATATATTCTATGAAGTAAAAAAAATATATATACTAATCTGCCATCTATTCTCACTGTAGCTTTTTTGGCCAGCAAAATGAAGAATGCAATCATAATCTGCACAAAGCCATACTTCTCAACTTCAAAGCAGTGTGACTGCCAGCTCAGAAAACATCAGCCAGAAGCATGTGATATAACTAATGGCTAAGATCACAGAGGTACCCACAGCCTGAGTTCAGAATACAGTTGAGCCACACTATGTACAAGAAAAGTTATGATACAAAAGGCATATTGCAGCAGGATGAATACAGGGGAAAACGCTATAGGAAAAGAGCATAAACATAAAGTGTTTATACAAAACCTATCTCTGAATATACATATGAGCTGAAACATGACCAACATGTATGGACATTTAAAATTTTGAAAATTCAGCTCAAATCTTTTATATATTTATCAGATTTCATTCTGGCAGGCTCTACTGTACAATGAAACCCTTAAAATTCAATAATTCTAACAACCAAGTCACAGCACAATCACAAAAAGAGATTTAAGATTAAGCGAATCTTTTAGGGAATATATCATGTGACAAGTACCAACAGCTGTATCAACAAACATCAGAAAAAGTATGCAAGCTTTAATCACTGACTGGCATCTAATGTTACAGACCAAAACCATCAATCACAGTGAATGACGAGGTGACAGCTATTTTTCCTATGTTCCTCAATACAGCTGACAAAGCCCCTCCACCAACACCTACCTTAGAGGCTGTTAGGAGCATCATGGAGTTCTTCTTGAGCACCGCACGTGCTGAGGCAAGGTCGTCACGGAGCCTTGGGTCCTTCAGCTCATTTTGCCGCTTTGCTGCCTGGTTGATGAGGTCGCTTGTGTTCTTGCCAAACAGACGGAAGTTGTCGAGCAGCTCTGATTGACTGGAGGCATTTTTGACCTTCTCTAAGTCGTCTTCCACCTAAGAAGGAGAGTGGAAATGATGGATGAATAATTGGCAATTTGTGTGTGTGTGTGGGTATATGTGTGTGTGTGTATGTGTGTGCGCATGTTCAAGTATGTGTGTATGAGTTGTGTTTGTTTGTATGTGTGTGTGAGTATATGTATAGTATACTATATCGGATATAGTATACTATAGAAGACTACACATGGCTTGGGGGACACCGCATGTAGTCTTCTATAGTTTTCTTCTATAGTATACTATAATATGTGTGTTGTATGTTGTTCACTTCCAAGCAAATGCATACACAATCATTTATAAAGACACAAGAAAGACCCTATTCAAAATCTTCAATATTTTCTGAACATGAAAAACCAAACCCAACACCTATTTCACAAAACTCACCACTTGTAAACTCTTGAGGAGCCGGTGGACATCCACCATATCAGCCAAGATGAGCAAGCGTGTGACAGCCGAGAGGAGGTTCCTAGCAGCCCGCACCATGTTGCCACGCTTCACACTGCTACAAGGGTCTTCGGCAAACTCCCGGGCAGCTCGCGACATGGTATCTCCTTGGGCAGGCAGGGAGTAAGGCCAAAAAGTCATTCTTAATTCAAGAACTTTAGATGCCCTGGTCGTAATGTTGTCTAATTATGCTATACTAAAAACCATGTCAAATGAGGCCACTTAATAAAATCACATGCATAGATTATGCACACAAAAACATAAAAACTACAAAATGCAATGTGCTTTTCAGTCTTATTTATAAAACACTTGGATTACCACTCAAATTTTAAAATAAACAAACTACTGTATTCTGAATCTATAAACAATCTTACATACACGGGAAAGATGAACCAGAAAGGAATTAATATTTTAATGAAGCCATTATCAATATCCCACTGTATTTGCAGTAAATGTGATGATCAACTAACACAGAAAAAAGAAAGGAAAATACCAAAATTACACTGGGTCCTCTACCAATTTAAGAGATCCTGCACTTACATAAACCTAAAACCAATTAAACCCCAGGACAAGGTGTCAAAAAACAAGTCTGGATGTCTTTTTAATTAACACACTTTCTCTATACACAAAGCACTAAATGAAAGGTCTTTTATATGGATACATTATCAGAGTATTCATTCCCACTAAAACACAATGGTCTTTATATCATGTTTCAAGAGAACAAATAGTCAAAATTTGGATTTTAAGGGCAGTTCAAATGTCTTCTATTATTGGACTACAAGAGCAAAAGAATGAAAACAACACGTTTAAGTCAAATGTTAATGCAAAAGAATGAGTTGAAAGTTGAAGGAAAACACTAATGGCTAAAAAATAATCTTAACTTATGACAAAATCATGAAAATAACAACAATAATAATAATAATAAACCAAAACATACTCATAAAAAGAACTTCAACAAACAAATCAATCAATAGATAAATAAACAAGACTATATAATAAAAAAAAATTATCACAAGAACAAACCAACAGCATACATGAGAAAAAACACAAATAACAAATAACAAACACTAGAGAACTGCCCACAAAGGCCTGGAGACCTGGGCCATGCTCGCACCATGCAGCCTGCACCTTCAACGCCTACCTGTCTTGCGAACCTCCTCGACAGCGCCCAGCATCTCGCCCTTGATGTCAGGGTTCTCATAGGCGATCTCTTCCCCACGCTCAATGAAGTTTCGCGTGGCTGCCTCCACTGCCGCAACCAGCACGTGGGCACGCTTGCTCCGCCCTTTCTTCTTCTTGGAGGGGCCTTTGGTGTTGACAAGGGTCGTGACCTAATGGTACGGACGGACAGGTATGCGTGAGTGACAGAGTGAAGTTAGCTTTGGTGTGATAAGTGGAGTTTTGGAGTGGGGTTAAGGTCGAGGGGCAAAATCAATGGCTAGGTTCAAAGCTATAGTTGAGGGTAAATAATAAATCATAAAAACAAGAAACTGAAAAGAAGAACTGGAAACTTCAACTGGAGGAAATACAGATTTGCAACAAAATTATTATTCAACTGTAGGTCAAGGTGTAAAATAAACTTTCAAAAACTGACAATATCACAATATGCTGGAGAAAACCAAAGAATAAAAATTTAATCTTTAAAGAAAGCAAAAGGACATACAAAAACAAAGAAAAACAATCTACATATGTACTTACTACAAACCAACTACAGTTGTACAGTAAGCATATTATAATCAAACCAAAACTCGTATATATAAAAAAAAAAAAAATCAAAAGAACAAAAAAAAACGTATCATATTTCCACTCTAGTACTACCTTCAAAAGCCCATTTCTCTCCTATCCACTTAAAAGACATTGCTTTTCTTTTATTCATAAACTAGCTATTACTTTTTTTTTACATAATATAGACTGATTTGATTACCTGTAGTAAAACAATAATAAAGCACTATATAATCAAAGGTGTGGTCGTTTTCAATAAAGTACAAAGTAATTTTTGTATATAATCCTTTTAGTTGAGTCTATACATATATCTTTCTAAACATGTATCAGACAAATACAAACAAGAACCAGCTATCTATATTAATGAGATGAACATTAATAGACTTTAAAATATTCCTACAATCCAATGATTATCTCAAAATCATACCTCATTGACAAGAACAACAATTACATGATTTGTGTCAACACTATATTCAACAAAAGTAAACATGAAAAATTTTGCAATACAACTTTATACATTTAACGGCAAGATAAAAGATTAAAAAAAAAAAAAAAAAAAAAAAAAAAAATCAAACACAGGGTTCTCCAAAGCACACCCACCGGCAGGGAAGAACAAGTTAGCCACCGCAGAGAGAGAAAAAGCCATCCCTTGAGATAATATACAGGGATGGAGAGAAACCCCACAGACTCAGCACAACACAACACACTGTAGTGGTGGTGAATCCCCCCCAAGCTGTAAAACTCATTACCTGTATGACTAGGGGCTCTAGGGTCTTTTCGACTGACCGGGTCTTGATCTCAAGGTTCTTAATGTCCCATCGAAGCACCAGGCCACTGCCGTTATCGGTGCCCGGTGGCATGCTGGGGTAGTTTTGCTCGGGCATGGTGCCGAAGTACTGATCTTGCTCTGGTGGGGATTCCTTAGGCTTTTTAGTGAATTCCCTTATCCTGCACGCCGTTTAAGCATCGAGACACCTCGTCCGCACAAGTGACTCGTGATGCTGTAAACACTGTGTGTATCTGTATTTGTGCAAAGTCTTTCAGAGTTCTTTTTACTTTTTTATTTGTTTACTTTTTATTTTTTATCTCTTTCTCTCTGTAATCCTTACTTCCTCTCTTTGATTTTTCTCTTTCTCAAATTTCAAACTAAGCTGTCCCGCTTAGACAGAGGGCTTCATCGCTCACTAGAGGGTTCATGCACTAAGTCCAACGACAAAGAAAAACTTTTTACCATGCACTCCTGGCTTTACTCAACACTACATGCACATCAAACCTAAGAAAAGGGAGGGGAAAGAAAAAAAATAAAGGTATTAAAACAACAGGACATGACAGACAGGGCCCTGGATTAGGCTCTCGTGATGCTCAAAGAACTGGGGTAGTTTAAACAGCCAGACTTACTGGAGAAAAAAAATATATACATACACATGTAAACACTACACGCATAAAAAAATAATAAAAATAAAAGTATTCATGACTTACTGACTCATGAATAACTTCAGCCAATTCTATAAATAATAAACAAACAAACATAAAATTGAACAAATCAAACTAATACTTTAGAAAAAGCAATGTACCATACAAACACTGCCAAATGATTTGCAGTCTTACCAATACTTGGACTTCTGTAGAAATCCACATATAAAAGTAATTCATCCGGTCAGGACCAGTTTATGAAGTACACATTGAAAAATATATATATTTTACTTTAGTCAAGAGGCATGCAATTGCAAGAAAAGTGACTGAGCAACAAGTATGCATTCTCAATGATTAGTAAGTGTAAATTCAATGGTTTTTATATAATTGTGATGGAGAATGGGCAAAGAGTAGTTATAAAAAAATATATGCAAAGCATTGTCATGACCACACATCTATTTTCCTCTCTTTTACTTTTACTCTCTCTCTCTTACTAGCACACTCGCTCAGTCAGTCAGTGAGTCATTCAGTCACTCACCCACCCACCCACCCATCATTCACTCACTCACTCCCACTCACTTACTCACTCACTCCTATTCACTCCTCACTCCCACTCACTTCTCACTCCCACTCACTAACTCATTCCCACTCACCAACTCACTCACTCACCTACCCCCACTCACTCACTAACTCACTCACCCGCACGCACGCACTCACTCACCCCCACTCACTCACTCACTCACTCACTCACGCACGCACTCACTCCCACTCACTCTCACAATTCATTCACTCATTCACTTCACCCACCCCTCTCTCTCTCACTCTCAGGCACACATGCACTCGCACTCAGTAATGGAATCTCACTCACTCACTCCATCCACTCACCCCTCTCACTCTCAGTCCTTAACTCACTCTCAATAAGTCACCTAGTCTCAACACTCACTCAGAAGCTTATGCATTCACTTACACACTGAAACACTATGAAGGAGAGAGAATAGAGAATGAATAAAAAAAAAAATAATAATAATAATAATAACAATAAATGCAGAGATCTTCTTCATATGCAAATCATCCTTCAAAAGGTAAACTGTCATCATAATCTATAAAACGGTTTAAGTGATGAAACAGCAATCACAAAAAAAGAAAAACAAAAAGAGAGAGACCAGAGGTGAGGGGGTAGTGAGGGGGTTTGATTTATTTCCAAACACGGCCTTCCAGTTAACGGCACAACGGGGGTGGGCGTGGGGGGAAGGGGGAGTTACAAGAAGTGCACGGCCAACAGCAATGGTGTCGGAATCTCCTGTCAGATCTGTAAGTCTTGGCATTGAGTGGGAGAGGGGGTCTAGGGGGGAGAAAACAGTGGAGGGTATATATATGGAGGAGGACTGATGGGGCACGGGAGAAGGGGGGGTACGAATATATATATATATATATGTATTCTTTATATATCAAAACAAATCCAAGTTGACCATCGTACACAAGAGCCACACAGTGCACAAGTACCATTACAGCACGGAGAAAGAGAGAATCGCCTCCTTGTGAAAAACATTTTGGATCTGGGGGGGAGGGGTGGCAAAAGGGTTAGGGGGGAGAGGCGACGTCTTCCAAATCTCTTGGCTCAAGTCCTCTTCTTCTTAGGGGTTATTGTTATTTCTTTTTCTTTCTCCCTCTCTTTCCGGCTCCCTCCTTTTTCTGTTCCAAAATCAACGCAACCAGCTTCTTCCCAGAGGGGTGGGTGGGGGTGTCTCCAGAGCTTGGCTCAAAATTCCAAAACACTCATAAAAGAGACAAAAAAAAAAAAAAAAAGATATTCTTTGGAAAATGACTATAACAAAAGATAGATAAACGAAAGATTGGCCATTTCCTCTCTTCAATCGAGCGCTAATTCCACTACACAAGAAAAGCCAAGGTTCACCCACTTTCTATGGTGGTGGTGCTGCAAAAAATTCAAAACGTACACCACTAAAAAATTCTCTCTAGGAATATCTCTGGAAAAGGCTCATTTTGCATTTCTTACGATCACTGGAAAAAGAAAAAAAATATTGGTTTGCTGGTCTTACTTTCGACCTTCCTTTCTATGAAAACAATATGAAAATCATACATTACAAAATCAAGAATCAATGCTTTACATTTCTACTTTTGCATACACTTTCTTTTGGCATAATATAATATTTACACCATTCATAATTATTTTCCTAAACTTAACTTCCACTTATGAAGTTGTCTTAATGCATCTTTATTGATAGTAACTTTTCTTGCATGTTCTGAGCATCACTGAATCACAACTGCAGTAAAAAATGCTGATGGACTTGTTTCAAACCTTTAATATCAAATCTGCTTTGCAACAGCCAATGTAATGATAATTTCAGTTGCTAAAGAACATTCTTGAAAATTCATTCTTTTTTTTTTATTATTATTATTAATTTGCAAAATAAAACTCAAAAACAATAAAATGAATTACATGCGTAAATCACACTTGTTTCCTGTTCTCAGAGTCCATGATCTAAAAAAAAAAAAAAAAAGAAAAAAAAAAAAAAAAAAATGAACATTGTCATCACTCTTCCCAAATCCATCTACATCTCCCTCTCTCTACATCTTTCTCATTTTTCCTGGAAACCATCAGCACCTCCCCTTGCAGTTTCGCCAAAATCCAGGGTCTTGGTCCACAACTCAACCTCTGACGTCACCTGAATGACCAACGGCTCGAGAGTCTTCTCCACCGACATGGTGCGAATCTCGAGGTTTTTGGGGTCCCACTTGAGGATGACGGGACCCCCGGGGTTAAAGTGGTCTAGGGTCATTCTGTTATTTATTTATTTTTGGCCGCCCTTGCTGCAGAGAGGGGGGCGCGCGGAAATGCTGGGCCGGCGGTGCTACTTAGGGCTTACGCAAAGTGGAGAGAAGGTAGAATGGTTCTGGGGGCTACCTATGAACGTGGATCTGAAACAGAGAGAAAAACAGGGTTAGAGTGTTTGTTTGTTAAAAAGACTCTATCTAAGAATGCAAGTATAATATAGTTTTAAAAAATGTCATGAAAAAACAATGAATACATTTCTTTTTTTCTGATCAAGAGGGGGAAGAAAAATAATTGAATTTAATGTGCCAGTGAATGAGCGAGAATGTGTGTGTGTGTGTGTGTGTGTGTGTGTGTGTGTGTGTGTGTGTGTGTGTGTGTGTGTGTGTGTGTGTGTGTGTGTGTGTGTGTGTGTGTGTGTGTGTGTGTGTGTGTGTGTGTGTGTGTGTGTGTGTGTGTGTGTGTGTGTGTGTGTGTGTGTGTGTGTGTGTGTGTGTGTGTGTGTGTGTGTGTGTGTGTGTGTGTGTTTGTGTGTGTGTGTGTGTGTGTGTGTGTGTGTGTGTGTGTGTGTGTGTGTGTGTGTGTGTGTTGTGTGTGTGTGTGTGTGTGTGTGTGTGTGTGTGTGTGGTGTGTGTGTGTGTGTGTGTGTGTGTGTGTGTGTGTGTGTGTGTGTGTGTGTGTGTGTGTTGTGTGTGTGTGTGTGTGTGTGTGTGTGTGTGTGTGTGTGTGTGTGTGTGTGTGTGTGTGTGTGTGTGTGTGTGTGTGTGTGTGTGTGTGTGTGTGTGTGTGTGTGTGTGTGTGTGTGTGTGTGTGTGTGTGTGTGTGTGTGTGTGTGTGTGTGTGTGTGTGTGTGTGTATGTGTGTGGTGTGTGTGTGTGTGTGTGTGTGTGTGTGTGTGTGTGTGTGTGTGTGTGTGTGTGTGTGTGTGTGTGTGTGTGTGTGTGTGTGTGTGTGTGTGTGTGTGTGCATGCACATGTGCATGTGCATGAGTATGTGTATGTGCAAATGTGTGTGTGTGTGTGTGTGTGTGTGTGTGTGTGTGTGTGTGTGTGTGTGTGTGTGTGTGTGTGTGTGTGTGTGTGTGTGTGTGTACATATGTACACATATACATGTGTGCACATATGTGTTGATGTATGTGTGTACATGCATGCACATGTGTTGATGTACGTGTGCATATGTGTGCATGTGGATGTGTGTGCATGTGTGTGATGTGGATGTGTACATGTGGATGTGTATGCATGTGGATGTGTGCGTATATGGATGTGTGTGCATGTCTGTGGATGTGTGTGTGCATGTCTGTGAATATGTCCATATCTGTGCACATGTGTGCATGTGGAGTGTGTAAATGAATGCGTACATGGATCCCGCTAAGGTAAATACAATTCTTGTGCAAATTAATGTTATAAAAAAAATACAACAAAGCATAATGAAAAACAAAAATCCAGGATATATATCCGCTATTCTACTTACATAGACTGACATGAAAGTGAGATACACAATGCAAGCACTTATGTACACGCACCCATAGTACATACGCACATACACACACGCGCGCACCCATTCACAATCATAACCATACATACAAACACACGCTCTCTCTTGTTCTCCGACTTTCACATCCTCCCAAAGAAACACAGACATCCTGTTTCGTGAACAAAAATGCATGTGTTCCCCTAAACAAGCCCATTTCTTCGTTTCCACACAAAAAATTACGTGTCTTGAACAAACGCACACATATCGCGTGAATAAGTAGTGGAAATGTGAAAACGAAGACAGTAACGAAGGAAACGAATGGAAATAAAGGAATAACAAAGAGAAAACGGAATAAATAAGGTAAGTCACCAATCTGACGGAACAATGCAAACATCCTGCGGCCGCCCTCCCCCCACCCCCCTCCACCCCACCCCCTCTTTCCTTTCTTCATCAATTTACCCCATCCACACCCAATCCTCTTCTTCCTCTTTCTCCTTCCTCTTTCATTAGCCAACAAACCTCTTCCTCCTTCCTCTTCATCTTTTTCCTCTTCTTCTTCCTCTCCTACTACTCCCTCCTCCTCCTCCTCCTCCTCCTCCCTCACCTCTCTCTTCCAGCATTGCTAGTACGTGAAGGCGCGGCCCACAATACCACCCCCTTCCCCCATCCCCTCCCTCCTCCCTCCCTTTTCTTCTCTCTCTTCCCCAATATCACCTGTCGGCCGATCTCAATTACGGTATTGATAATGAGGGCGGTGTACATTCGCCTCCATCAAATCGGCGATAAATACGACAAAAATAATGATGACGGCAGCAGCAGCGACACAATGCGACAATACGAAACCAAATCGCTCAACGACCACACAGCACTGATCTGTAGTATGGCATCGAAACACCACACCATAATGACATCACAGAGCAACACGTCACACCATCATATCATCACATCGCATAACATCATCACATAATAATATCACATCGCAACACATCACAAAATTAGGTCTTCATCATCACATTGCAACATATCACATAATATCACATCGAAACACACCAAACATCATCACATCATAAACACACCACATAACTAATACATCACATCGCAACATATCGCATCATAATAACATCACCACCATCACAGCGAAAAGACAATGGAATACGCCCCCGACTTCTCCCAAACCGTTAACATCACCAACAGAACCCCGAGAAGGTGTACCGTTTGTCGTTCTCCCGTCGCAACAAACGCAGCCAGCCAACCATATGTCATTTTTCTTCCCTGCACCACTTGGCCCTGGATTTATGGTCGCGATTCTCAAAACACGAAAGAACCGCCCTCTTCTAGGCCATTTTCGAAATCTTAAATCTTATTACTCGAAAAATGACTCCCAAAATATAACAATTTCCCACCGTCTTAAACGCCTATTTCAGTTCTTGAAAGGGATAAAAAAATGGCTTTAGTAGGATATATTCAGATCTATATTTTTTACGCAGGAAAATAATGCACTAAAAAGGGAGGTAAACAGCCTCAACAACCCGTTCTCGCCACGGCCGAGCGGCGAGAGAGAAAGAGAGAGGAGGAGAGGAGACAGACAGGAAATCATTACGGACTTTTCCCCATTTCTCTCTCTCTCTTTCTCCCTTCTTTCTCTTTCTTCTCTTTCTCCTTTCTGTCTCTTTCTCTTTCTCTGTCTGTCTGTCTGTCTGTCTGTCTCTCTGTCTTTCTCTCTCTTTCTCTCTTGTGCTCTCCATTCCCTTCTTTCCCATTATCCGTCCTCTTCCACAACTTCTTCCTTCTTCCACCTCCAGTTCTTCCTCCTATTCCCTCCCACTCTTCTTCTCCTTGCCTTCTCTTTTCCCCCCTTTCTTTCCCCTCTTCATTCTCTCTGTCCTTCTTTCAACTCCCCCCCCCTTTCTTTTTCCCTTGCCCATCCCTCTTCCTTTCCCTCCCCTATCCTTCCTTTTTCCCCCTTTTCCCTCCCTTCCTCCCTTCCTCTTCCCCCTTTCCCTACACCTTCTTGCCCTTTCCCTTTCCCCTTCCTCTCCTTTCCCATCTCCCTCTTCCCTTCTCTTCCCTCTACCCTCCTCGCCCCTTCCCTTTCCCTTTCCCCTTCCAATCTTCCTCCTCTTGCCCTCTCCCCCCTCTCCCTCTTCCCTTCCCCTCCCCTCTTCCTCTACCCTCCTCGCCCCTTTCCCTTTTCCCCCCTTTCCCTTCCCCTTTCCCTTTCCCCTTCCTCCACCCCCTCCCCTTGCAGACGCGTCCTGTCAGGTCTATCCGAAGAGCCCGGCCAGGAACGGCATATCACTCGGGGGGGGGGGGGGACCAAGAGCCGCGGGCGATAAGAGCGGAGGAGGAGGAAGAGGAGGAGGGAGGAAGGAGGGAGGAGGAGGAGGGAGGAAGGAGGAGGGAGGAGGAGGAGGGGAAGGAGGAGGAGGGAGGGAGGGAGGAGGAGGAGGGAGAAGGAGGGAGGAGGAGGGAAAAGGAGGAGGAGGAAGTCGCCCGTCGGAAGCCAGGACGTGCAGTGTGATTCGGGAAAACGCGCAAGGACTTTCTCACCGTTTCTTGCACCTCTCTCACTCTCTCTTTCGCTTTTATATTTCTCGTTTCTTTTTTCATTCTTCCTCGCTGTTTCTTGCAGCCCCCCCCCTCCTCTCTCTTTCGCTTTTATACTTCTCGTTTCTTGCACCCCCTCCTCTCTCTCTCTCTCTCTCTCTCTCTCTCTCTCTCTCTCTCTCTCTCTCTCTCTCTCTCTCTCTCTCTCTCTCTCTCTCTCTCTCTCTCTCTCTCTCTCTCTCGCTTTTTACTTCTTTGTCTCCTTGTCCTTTCCTTGCTCTCGTCTCCGCCTCTGTCTATCTTTCGCTCTCCTTCAGTCCCTCCTTTCACTTATTCTCATCTCAACTTTATTTAACCTCCTATTCTTCTCCTCACCCGCCTCCATTTCCCTCCCCTTCCTACTCTCCTTTACCCCCTCCTTATACCCTTTTAAAATCCATTTACGCAAACCCCGTCATCTCCCACACAAAACACGGTCCTTGTCTCCTTTCCCTCTCTCTCCCCCCTCTCTTTTCCTACTCCTAACACCTCTTCTTCCCTCCCCTCCTCCTTTCCCTCCCCTTCCCCTTTCCCTCCTCCTTTCCCTCCTTCCCTTTCTCTTCCCCTCCCCTCCTCTTCCCTCCCCTCCCCTCCTCCTTTCCCTCCCTTCCCCTTCCTTCCCCTCCCCTTTCCTCCTTTCCCTCCTCTTCCTCCCCCTCCTCCTTTCCTACCTACCTCCCCCTCTCGCACTCGTCGTGAATAGAACACCCTGTCGTTCACGACCACGAGTCCTCTTCAGCGACCCTTACCCCCTCCCTTCCCTCCCTCCCTCCCTCATTTACCCCCTCCACCCCTTCCCCACCCCTCCCCTCTTACCTCCCCCCCCCACCTTCCCCCCACCCACCTCTCCGGCACCTGAGCGTCTCGTTGTGTAAGTTGGACTCTGAGAATATTATTTTTCATATTCAATTTTCTCGTTCGCGGTAGATGCAATTTCTTCTCCGCTTTCTCCCTTTTTTTCTGATTGCAGGCCGGCGATGACGGGTCTTATTTCTATTTTTTTTTTTCGTCTAATTTTCGCTCTTGGTCTTACTCCTGCCAATCAGTCAACTATGCCTGCTTACCTGTCACCCGGACTAACTGAC